AGGGATTTAGCAGCTGCGTGGCAGCTGGGGGAACCTCCTCTGGGTCGGTGGGAAGTATCCTGGCTGTGCTGGTGCTAGCTAGGATTCGGGGCCATGGGCTTGGGGAAGGACTGGCTCCCAGATGCTGCATTTCCCATCTTGTGTTCCCACCTGGGCTCTCCTGCAGTGCCGGGGGTTGGTGCTTTCCTCCTGCCAGCACGACAACTGCAGGGGGGAATTTGCATCTAAAGTTTGCTCACTAACTGTGAAATCTGGTTACTTCCAAGCACCAGAAACGAGCCTGCTCGGCTGCAGAACTGCCTGCCCTGCAATCCTGCCTTCAGCTGTGTTGCAAGAGTAATTCCTCATCCCGCATCGATGGGATGCTCGAGTCCAATGCCCCATCTAGTGGCACAGGAGCCGACTGCTGTCTCCTTCCCGGTGCCTCTCTCACAGCGCGTCTCGCTCGCAAACTTAGATGGAAATCTTATAATATTGGTGTTTCTCCTTAAAACTACAGAGTTACCAAGAATAAATTGCAAAACCAAAAAGTGGAAAGGGTGATTGATCCCTGGAGAAGGCTCAAAGGGCAAAGGGTGTAAATCAAAAGCACTATAGGCATGGTTTTAGCATGTGATTTTGAGGACTCCTGCCAAAACTCTGGAAGGTTTGGTAACAGCTTTGCAACAACGGTGAGATTTACAGCATCCTGCATTTCAGTGCCAGATGGGCTGTGAGCGGGTGCTGTCCCGGCTCAGGGCATCTTCTTGCTGTTAGGAAGATTGTTTGAATCCAGCAGGCACAGGGTCGTGGTCTTTGCTGCCACCAGGCTCCGCTCCCCATGCCCTGAGCTCCTCATTTACCCTCCTGCGAAAGGCAGGGGAACAAGCTGGGGCTCAGCCACCACCAGCATTCAAAAACTGAGTTGAGAGCTGCAAAATCTCAGGATTAGTGTAACTACCTGATCTCAGAAAGCAGCCTTTCTCAGGTCTCGAGTGCCCTGGTTTATTCAGTTTAGTGGAATTATGTTTTTCAGGCTATTACGTGCACCTAAGAGAAGCGAGAAGCCAATCTGGATGCGGATGCATTACGAGGACTCTAGGCTCAATGGCCTCAGGGAAAGCTGAGCTTTTACTGCCTGAGCTGGCAATCCTGGTCAAAGTCCACTAGACTTTATCATTAAATACACAACAGAGGAGCCGGCAGCCAGCAGTGCCGGTGTGAGCCCTGGTTGGGAACCACCAGGCAGCAAAGCAACCGCGCTTACCTCCGGAGTACATGTCGAATGTGTCTGCTTTCAGGAGCTGCCCGCTTGTTCCTGGAAGGTTAAAATTCAAAACAGAAAACAGTGAGTTTGCACTGGGGTGGCTCTAGGCTTTGCCTGGCCACCAGCTTGGGGTTCCTGCTGCTGCAAAATGCTTTGCTCTTCCCTCAGTGTGTCATATTTGCTGTGATGGCGAATGTGTTGCTCAGTGGAGTTCATGGAGCCATCGTGCACGACCCATGTGGGTTTGTTTCCAACTCCCTGGCAGTGCTTGCAACCATAATTGTGGCTGTGCACCCCATGCAACACCGGACTGATGTGCTTTTGGGTCAGCTGTGGTGCCTGGGATGGGATCCCCGGTGGCCTGTGTCCTCCCAGGGGAGGAAGGGACCCCAGCCGTGGGGAGGTGGTTAATGCCCACCCAACTCACCGTTCACCAGTGCGATGTTCAGGCCCCTGCCAATGTTGTTTTTCACGCTGCTCATGAGGCTGGAAAGGAAAGCAGAGGGCACCAGTCAGTGCAGGGATGCCCTGGAGAGGCTGGTGCCAGTGAAACAGTGTGATGGGGCAACATGTGCCTGCAGACAGCAAAATGCCCCCAGAAGCGGTAGCAAAGAAAACTATTTCCAAACTTGCCCTATTCAAGCCCAGGCCAGCCGTGGCTGCCCCGTCCCCGCCGTGTGTTGCTTACACTGTGCCATCAAAGCAGATGGAGGGTCCCACCACATTTGCGGCACCGCTGATGATCTTGAAGGCAAAATAGTTCTGGGAGCAGCTCTTCTGGTTTCCACACTTGTGCTGGGGCAGCTGCTTGCCTGCAAGGGAGGAGCGGAGCTGCAAGCCATGACGTTGGCCCTGTGGGGGGACACTGGCTGTGTCCCCGAGGGGCTGAGCAGGGCTGGCACTGAGGCACAGTGACCCACTAAGGGGGCAACGCCTGGACCAGCTTCTTGCATGAAGGAGGCTTGTCCTGGGACTGGGACCAGCTTCTTTTTTGAGGTTTATGGTGCCAAAGCTTGGGGTGGGACAAGCTGGCTGGGGTGCCGGGTGCTGCTCTGGGTGTGAGCAGCAGGACGGCACGGCTGGTGCCATGGGGATTGTGGAGGGGTGTGTGCCGGGGAGCATTCGGAGCTGGTGTTTGTTCAAGGCCAGCCCCTTGTGGCTTTTCTGCCCAGAGCTTCCGCATTCCCAGTCAGGGTAGGGACCTGTGCCACGCCGCCCGGATGGGGCCCGCAACCTGCTTCCTGCTGTAGCCTGGGGGTGTTTCTGCTGGGGCAGGGAGAACGTGTGAAGGTTCACGTGCTTGCACACCCTGCCAGAGACATTGCTGCTGTGTGCAATGACAAAATTCCCCTGCGTTTGGGAGGATGGGATTTTGCCTTGGGAAGGGAGCTCTCGAGGGTAGCTATCATGCTTCCACCGTCACCCTCAGCCCCGGAGCGGTGTTGCGTGATGGAGATGAAGTCAAGAGCAGTACTCACTTCTGGGCTTGTCTGTGACACCTGTGGGTACCAAGCAGGAGGGTTAGACACCCTGGAGAGCTGCTAGCTCTTCCCCAAGCCAGGAGCAGCCGTTCAGGCACTGTCTCTCCAAAACTGCTCCCTGTGGCTGCGAGCACCCCTGGAGCCACCTGCCCCAGTGCAGCTTCCACCTATGCTGTCCCCTCCCTGCCCTGATGATCAGAGCTGGTGGCTATAGCCTTGGCCAGGTACTGCAAGTGCAAATGTTCATGGCAACTATGTGTAGCTCTGGCGTCTGGCTCGCAATGGGGCTGCCCGCACCCTCCCTCCGGACCCGGTTGGAGCCCTGCTGGTGCCTCACCGAGCCAGCTCCGCAGGCTGATAGCTTTCCATCTGTGATCAAAGTACGTCTGCATGACGAACCAGATGCCCAGCAGCGTGATGAGCAGTGCCACGTACCGGATCATGCCTGCGAGGGGTAGGAGAGGAGCCAGGTGAGAGCAGCAGCGGCACGGGTCGGGGACCAGAGCATCCTTCTGGCTTCCTGGGGACTTGGTCTGTGTGTCCAGGACCAAGGCACAGGGTGACAGCCAGAGCTTGTGTGGTGTGGGAAGGCAGCTAACACTCCTTCCTTCATCCTCTAAAAAGACTCTGATCTCTTAATTAATATCTCTAGAACGTGTGGTGATGCTCAGATAAGCATTACCCTTCTACTGGGAGGCACTATTCATATTTCTCTCTGCATTAAAGTAAATCTGATAATTAGTCAGAAAGCTATGTAAATCCAAATATTTCTTATGTTCCCAGTACTGGGAAGGCTGCTATCCCCCAATTAGTCACTAGCTACAGCCGAGCAGCTGCTAATACAAATGTGATTGGCATTTGGCTTTAAAGCAGCGCTCATCAGAGCAAAACGTTCCAGTCCTGCATGGAAAGAGAGTAGAAAAATATACTTATATTGCAGCTGAATGGCTCTTATGGAACCAGGAACGTCTCAATAGCCATCTCTTCCCAGCTGCGGAGGGTTTCACTGGGAAAAATACAACAGGCTGAAATCTACACAAATCTTTTAAAAACCTGATGCTTATACAAAGGCCCTTTCCCATGGCCCTGGCAGGGGAAAAGGTCAGGGTAGCTGGACTTGGAAGGGGACGTGTAAATGAGAAGGAGGCATAAAGAACTGTAGAAAAATGGACAGAGAAAAGTAAATCTCTGTCTCCCTCCTTACCTGTCACCCGCATGGTGGTGGGGAGAGATAGCACAACTGAGGAGGTGGTCAGTGGTCACGAGTCACCCTGAGGAAAAAGAAGGAAATGCCATAAAGCATACCTGTAACCCACCGAATCCAGGAAGATATTAGATGAAAAAATAATTGCTATGTTTAGGCATATTTGCAATGACTAAGAGGTCACCGAAGATGTATAAATTCCTATCATCAGGCACATGTGCTTGGTCCTACCCTGATGTTGAAGTCCTGGCTCCCATACGTTGGTGCAGGCTGCACTGATTGAGCTTACTTCATTTTTAAGCCTCTGAACTCTTCACTGTGACTGTCTGCTGCCCTGTGTGCTCCTGTTTCATGTCCTTTTCTCAGTAACAGACCATGCTTTTCTATTGTGATGAGCTCGAGGAGCACATTTTCAGTCATGGCTTTGCTGCATTTCCTTCTGATTTCCTTCTGGGATTATGCAAAGCAGGTTTCAAATATTAGGGGCTGCAAAATGCCATCTGACAAGCTGTGATTTGGCCTTGCCCAGTCAGAGGAATCTGTGGGAACAAGCTTGTCCTCCTTAAAACCAGAAAGGGAAGGGAATAAGTGCAGCGCTGCTGAGCTGGGCAGAGAAGCAAGGCTTGGGGACATCTGACTTAAGGACAGACATGTTTCCACTTGTCCAAATCCTGCAGCATCTTCACCCACGCGAATGGGGAGTGGTTGTAATTTAGAGTGTAAACTTTTTCCTACCCGAGCAAGTCCATCTGCCCCCCTCCCTCCCGCTGCCAGCCCCCACGATGGGACGGGCACCTGCCACCTCACGTACCAGCCTCCCGGGGGCTGGGGACCCGCTCCTACCTTTGAAATTCAGGGATGCAGTCCAGTGAATGTCTGTCCTGGAAACCACACCGGAGTCCTAAGGCAGATTATCACCTGGGAGACATGCTCAGAGTTAAAGAGCCTAATGTTAACTAAAGCAGCCCTTTAGCGAGGCTTGACATAGGAAATTTGTAGAAGAGCTATGCTGAGAGCTGCTTTTCCTGTTTGAAGGGTAAATAAGGAGCAATGGGTTGTAGCAGGGCTGGGCTGTAATTTGATTTCAGGCTGCTGTGTCATGAGGGAGGAGAGAAGAGCTTCACCCCCTGCCCAGCCCCGCTCTGGGTCCCTGCCCAGGGCTTGGCTTCAGGGAAAGTACCCATGGCCATGTGATTGGCCATGGTGCAGCATCCCCCCTTGGCCCGTGGGTGGGATGCACCCGGCATCCCCCCTTGGCACCCCAGTGGGATGAACCTGGCATCCCACCTCAGCACCCTAGTGAGACGCTTCCCCTTGGCTTCTCCTTGGCTTCCCCCGCACCCTGGGGCAGGTTGCAGCATCACTGTATGGGGCTTAAAAACAAGGAGGAAACTGATCTGCACTGCGGGAGGAAAGCTGCTGCTTTCTTGCTTGGCCTGCGACCCTGGAGGGAGTTTGCAGTGGGCCAGGGTGGCCCGTGCCTGGCCGGAGCGGCAGCCCCGCAGTGACGTTTCAGCTGTCCGAAGCCGCAGCCCAGCACCGCTCCCCACGAGGTCCCTCCACTGCGCCCGTGTCTGCCATGAGGCTGCGGCAAGGAGGAGCTGCCGAAGCCGTTCAGGTGGGAGTTGGCAGCTTCCCATGGGAGAGTGGCCTCACAGCTTATCTGCATTTTAAAGGAGGCCTTGTAAGGTATACGTGTACCCTCGGTACCGCGGCAGCGTGTCTTTGATAGGGTATCGGCTAAGCACACTTGCTTCCCAGCAGCATTTCACTTCTTTCTGCAACTATTCCTCCCAGAGGAAGGTCACCATGAGTGGGAATCTGTCTACGCAGGAGGTGGCACGGGGGTCCGCAGCGCCCGCAGCCCTTCCCCATGCCACCTTGTCCTGGCCCATCCCAGCCCCCCCCGCATGGTATCCCTGAAACAGGTTTTAAACTTGTGTCGGAGTTGGTGTGAACAAGCTCGTTTCACTGAGCTGGTGGAAGAGCCACAGACCTGAAAATAGACAGTTTAAAGGTTTTGGAGGACAAATGCTACTCGTGGCTGGGTCTGGCAGCACAGCACCGGGCTGATGCCTTTTGCTCCTTCCAGCATGAAGCTTTGCTTTTTAAACGTAGGGAGCCTCTCCCACACCTGGCTCCCCAGCCCGGTGCCTGATGAGGGGATGGGTGTGATGGGAGCAGAAGAGCAGTCCTTAAATCCCCCTTGGCAAGTTGCAAAGTCTTTAAAATTTGTATTGATTTGCTTTGGAGCCTGTTGAGTTCCCCTCCAAACGCCACGAGCAGAGCCTGGAGCTGGTGAGGATTTGGATCTGGGCCGTGATTCGGACACAGCGAGCGCAGCAAAACTCCCCTGGGTTTGCAAAACCATCCCCATTCAGTCCCCACTGCTGCAGGGGACACCAGCCTCACTAGGGCCCATTGCACAGTGCTCTCCTTTGCCAAATTTGGTTTTTTTTTCTATTGATTTTGTTGCAGAGGAAGAGAAATGGAAAAATAAACCGATAAACACTACCGCTTTAGGGAAGTCATGTATGTATTTGGGCTATTTATCTTCACCTTAATCTCAGGTAAAATTTATTTGGCGAAGTCCCTGGGTGCTGAAATTCCTGGAACCTGATTGCATTACAAGAGGGTAGCCCTGTCCTGGGATTTCTATTGTATTCTCTTTTAATTGTTTGGATTTTTAATTTTTTCTCCTAAGGCTGTGCCGGAAAAAACCCCTGTAACTTATTTGCTTAAAAAACATTCCAGGAACAAAAAGGTTCTCGGACAAATATTGATAAAGAGCGAGCTCCATGGCGTTGTAAGGCAAAGGCTCCACCCCGAGCCTGCTCAGGACTGAAGTGCCCTGTGGCAGCGCTGAGTTATTGCTGCCAAGAAGAAACCAGGGCAGATCCCTGCCCTTGCAGGGAGGTTTTCCAGGATGCGGCGGGTGAACGTTCCCATTTTCTCCCAGCACCAGAGGAAAACATCACTTCTTGTCCCCAGAAACTTATGGCGTTGTTGGTTTTGTTTTTTTTTTTTTTTGCTGCTTTTGAGCCCCATACGTCCCTCTCTCTCCCAGCAGATCCCTGACCATGAACGAGACATCATTTTGGTGTGGGGTGGGGATGCAGATCCAAAGAGGGTGGCTTCCAGATGTCACCCGTGCCCACACCCAGCGAGTCACCCCTCCAAAAGTCAGGGTTTCCTTGTGAAACTAAAGTCAGGGGCGCAGGAGGGGCCTGGTTCAGGGTGGGTGCACATCCACTGTGTATCCAGGGTTGGTCCCACCACAGGAGAATGGAGGATGCTACAATGCCATTTTTAGTCTCAGAAGGAGTCAATCCAACTGAGCTTTGCTGAGTTACTCAATGGGAGAGCGCTGTTTGCCAGAGGGCTTATAAATTCCTCAGCTCATAGAAATGCTTGGCCAGCTGCTGCACCTGCCAAATGGCTGGAGAGGCCATCTTATGGCAAAACTGCCCCCAGCACAAGTCAACAGTTAACCGGGGTGAGGCCCTGATCCCGAAACAGAAGCCAAACAGGACGCACGTGGTGGTGGGCAGGGGTGCGGGGCTGGGGCTAGCTGGAGTGGCCGAGCCCCATCTGGGAGCAGGACTGCAGCCAAGGTGGGACATGACACCTGGAGGTGCTGCTAGGAAAGCCGGGCTGTGGGGCTGGTGCAAAGGGCACAGGTGGACTTTGGTGCCTGCTGCAG